CCCCAAAACCCCAAAACCCCAAAACCCCAAAACCCCAAAACCCCGGCTTGCGGAGATTGGATATTTATTAGGTGTAATTCAGATATTTTAATTATTTAAATAGTGAAATGAGGAAAATCATTTTGAGTTTGTCTTTTATTCTAAGTGCCACTTATGTTTAATCTGGATAGAAATTGGCTTTTGTTTATGAATTGGTTAGACATGGAGCTAGAGCATCTACTCATAGTGAAGACTTATCTATATTCGAAGTTCCTAAGGGTTAATTAACTAGATCAGGAATGAGATAAAGATATCTAATAGGGAAATACAACAGATAAAAATATATTGAAAAAGAGTAACTCATTGATGGCACATATAATCCAAGCTAAATTTATCTACAGACTACATCAGTGACAAGAGCCTAATAAAGTAGTTATGCTGAAATGATGGGTCTCTTTCCTCCTTTGCAAAATTCCTAGCTCAATGAATAAATACCAAGCAAAGCAATGCCGAAGTTGAAGCTTCATAATAAAGGAAATCTTTAAGAAACTGTTCTCAAGTCATAGATCGATAACTACTAATTTATTCCTGCTTTTACTTATGCTGAAGCAAATGTTAACGATGATTTGTATTTTACTGGCTGTCCTTGGGTCTATGCTTATAAGACTGATGCAGCAAAGAAGCCAGAGACCTATAATGGAGTGATTGATGAAGTATTAGATGTTCTAAGGAATCCAATAGGTAAAGCAAACAACTATACTTAGGACTAAATAGACAAGATTAATTTCAATGATATCACTCTAGAACAAGATAAATGGTTTACCACTGACTTCTAAGGAGTAAAATAGTGGTATTAATACACCCCTGTAGAGTTAGAATATTTGAAACATTTTTAAGTCATTCATCTAACTTTACCTGTCGGTCAGTAAGGAAGACAGCTTTTAATGACTAAGCAGCTATCAAAACCCATATAAAGCATGAAAAATAGAATTTAGGAAATCTTGTCTGGAAACTAATCAAAAGATACCTTGAGATATATAGTTTACTCAGGCCATGATGATACCATCAGCAATCTTTTGGTGTTCCTTAATCCTGTCAATTTTTATTTTGAAGCTGTTCCTTATTGCAGCTAGGTATATTTTGAGCTTTACTACGACGAAGATTGTGTATCAACTAAGAAAGACAATTCTTGTTTCACTTTGCAAATGTTCTACAATGGGCATCCATTTAAGCTTGATACTTGCTAAGCTGCTAATCTATAAAGAGGCAGCAATTCACCATTCTGTTAGTTCGATGACTTTGTAGCTCATTATGATAAGCTTAAGTATTAGGGAGATGTTAAGGAGGCTTGCCTTAAGCCATATACTGGCTGATAACTGAATCATTTGATGAACTGAAATTGATCAACTTAATTTATTAAATGCTCTTAATATAAGTTAAAATGATAAGATAATAATATTCAGATAAAATTGCTTAATCAGATATTTTATAATTTAAGAGATTCCATCATTTTTCATCTACAGATGTCTTCTACTCCTCTAATGAATTTTAAGTGATTGTATAATTATGACTATTCTGCAGTAAAACATCTTGTATTGCGAGAGAATTCTTAAATTCAACATCTGTGCTATCATCATTAAGAGCTCTAATATTACTTTATTACTAAGTTTTTTCCCGAATTTCAGTTTAAATAGCTTGATACTAAATCATTTGATTTCTTTCTTATTGAATCTAAATTACTTTGTATATCTCTTCTTAATGAGCATATTGAGCTTTATTTCTCTGATAGGCTCTGCAAATTATTAAAAGTATTACAGAAATGATCAATCCAAGTATAAAAAAGGTCATTACGAGCAAAATGGTGAAGGTTTTATACTGATTTTCACAATGATCATAGCTGCAATAGTTGGACTCATCGTGACAGCAATTAGAAATGCATTCATCATTAGAGGTGCAGGCAGACATGAAAGGTACTTCTGAATAGAGTTTTAAGTTCATTAGAGACATTTTTAATAAATTACATATAACAATTATAGAAAGATTATTGATAATTTGCTATTTTAACTATTTTTGATGTCCTGGGGTTTTGGGGTTTTGGGGTTTTGGGGTTTTGGGGTTTTGGGG